GAAATTTACTCTCAGTGACTGTGTAGTCATTTAATGTAAACTCAAAGGTTATTAAAAAATGGTCGGACAGAACAGGATTTTGAGGAACTATTACCAAGTCCTTAATCTCTATACCATAGGTCAGAACTAAATCAAGAGTGTGATGATAAGAATGAGTACATGTGCGGACGTTTTGGGTAAAACCAAATGAGTCTATTAAATTATTAAAGGCTATGATTAAACTATCACTCTCAACATCCACATGAATATTGAAATCACCCATTATGATGATTTTATCAGTATTTAATAATAAGTCAGTTAATAATTCTGAGAATTCAGACAAAAACTGAGAGTAAGCTCCTGGTGGACGATATATAACAACTAGTAAAAGTGGCTTTTCTGATTTCTATTTTGGATGAGAAAGACTGAGGGACAGCGATTCAAAAGAATCATAACTAATAACTGGTTTGGCATTAATCAATAATCCTGACTGAAAAATAGAAGCTGCTCCTCCACCTCGGCCAGTTGTTCTAGGAACATGAACATTTAAATAATTAACAGGAGTGGATTCATTTATACCAACAAAATCCTCCTGTTGTAGCCAAGTTTCTGTCAGACACAATAAATCAATATGATGATCAGTTATCAGTTCATTAACTAACAGGGATTTAGAGGAAACAGATCTGATGTTCAATAATCCACATTTAATGATTTGATGATTTTGCTCTGGTAAAGTAACTGTGTTTATTTTAATCAGATTTTTATGGTTTATATTTTTAGAGCTGATTTTTGGTTTATTTAATTTGAGCTGTGGGCGAGTTGACACTGTTTCAATGTGGGTGTGGGTGGTGTACAGAGGAGAAGCAGCAGAGAGGTGGAGGACTACACCTCTGCTTCCTGGACTGGTTTCTAGACTGGACCGTTAATTGTCAACAACCCAGATGTTCAACAGAATCAGATCAGTTTTTAGAGAGAAGTGCTGCTCCACTGAAGGTGGGATGGATTCCATCTCTCCACATCAGACCGCGTTTTCTCCAAAATGCACTCCAGCTGTTTTCAGAACACCACCTGGATGCCCAGTGGTTGAAAGCTGACATCCAGCTGAACATGTCATTGCTGGACAGGTTGGGGAGGGGGCCGGAGAAAACTATAGAGTCCGACATAGTTTTTGAGAAGTTACACAATGAAGCAACATAAATTTTAGTGATCTCTGATTTGCATAGTTGAGTGTCAGTTTTACTTGTGAATAATGATTTTACTGTATTTAGCTTTAGCCAGTAGTTTCAGGTGGGATTCAGTGTCGCCTGCTCTGGACCCTGGAATCCATTTAACTGTGGTTTGAGTCACAGGTGCCACGTTTTGAACTATGGAGCTGCAACAACAAGAGTCTGCTCCTCGACGGGCGTCTCACTGAGCACGGAAAATCCATTTGACAGTTGAACGGGTCGGTGGTTGACCGAGGGCCTAGTTACGTATTGTTTTTTCTTTGGACCGTCCCCCTGTGGGGCTGAGGTTCAGGGCAGCTAAGTGGAGGAAACTGGTTTGAAACGTGGTTTTGAATGGGGAAGAATAATTTGAAACGTGAACAGGTCCTGGTTAGCGGGGGGTTTAACTTTAGCTTTAGGCTTACTTTGGGCTGATGCCCCACGGGCCTGTGGTTCTGGGTTGTTAAGGGGAGGAAACTGGCTTGAAATGTGGTTTAAAATGGAAGAAAAATCTTTTGAAACGTCATTTGAAATGTGAACAGACGTAGGAGTCCTTCTGCTCCAGGTGGGTGAGAGCAGTGTGGACCACAGAGGAGACGGCGTCTTCTGTTGATCCATTACCCCCACCCCCTCCCAACACATAAACACACCCTGGTCTTCATTTTCTTCAACATCATTCCATATGTTCAAGTTCAAGGTTCTTTATTCTCATTCTAGTTCTTCTAGGGGGACCCCAAGATGTTTCCAGGCCAATCCAGAGACAGTCTCTTCAGCGTGTCCTGGGTCTTCCCCGGGGTCTCCTCCCAGTTGGACATGTTACCTGTTGTTCTGTCTGTACAGCACGTTGGTTGTTCTTGTCGCTGTTTTAAGTGCTCTATAAATAAAATGGTATGGACATGCCAAAAGCACCTCCCTAGGGAGGCATCCATGGGACATCCTTAACAGATACCCAAACCACTTCAACTGAATCCTCTCAATGTGGAGGAGCAGCGGTTCTACGCTGAGTCTCTCCTGATAACTGAACTCCTCATCCTATCTCTAAGGGAGAGTTCAGCTACCCTGTGGAGGAAAATCATTTCAACCATCTATAACCGCAATGGACACTACCCAGAATTCATGAGCATTCATTCAACCTTTATTTGTACAGATTAATCCCATTGAGCCTTGGAGACTCATTTACAAGAGAGACCTGATTTCTTAACAAAGAGTGATGACAACAGTAACAAGGACAACAATAGACGGTCACAAAAGAGGCATACAATTTTTATTTCGTTGTTTTAAAACATATCAAAACAAAATAGCAACCAAAAGGACAGTCAAAAGGAAAAATAGCACAAAGAAAAAAACCCAGCTAGATTATAAAACTATGCAGAAAACTACAAACAGGAACATCTGCAGGAACTTAACAGATGTTTGAAGTCACTTAGAGAGGTCAAAGGTCGAGAGCTTCAGGTCTTTTTACAAGATGTTCCAGGAAACAGGAGCGGAGTAGGAGAAGGTCCTTTTGTCTAGTTCAGTCCTCACTGAGGGAACACTGCAGGTAATGATGTCCTGAGAGCGCACGCTGTAGCTGCACTCACACAGAGACATGTAGGAGGAGATGTATGAAGGCAGCAGACCAGGAAGTGATTTAAAGATGAAGATGTACCAGTGAGAGAGTCTGTGAGAAGTTAATGGTGACCAGTTAACCAGTGAATACTGGGTGCAGTGGTGGGTACGATAATCACAGCCAGTTATGAATCTTAGTGCACCGAGATAGACAGCATCCAACATCTGCAGCATCCAATATCTGCAGCATCCAACATCTGCAGCATCCAACATCTGTAGCATCCAACATCTGCAGCATCCAACATCTGCAGGGTTCTTGTAGGAGCGTTCATGTAAATAATGTCACCGTGATCAATGGAGGGAAGGAAAGTCACAGATACAAGGCGTTCCTCAGGGTTAGACAGGACCTGTTTCTGAAAAAGAAACCCAGTTTAACTTTCAGTTTCTTTATCAAGTTTTCCACATGGAGCTTAAAAGAAAGATGTGAGTCGACCAAGATACTCAAATATTTATAGGAACCAACAAACTGAATGGGGACACCTTTTGAGGGACTGCTGGGACCGACTTCCTGTCTGAAAACATCACTCTGCCGCTCGCTCCAGGAAGTGGTATAGATGTATGCTGCAGGCAATATGCTTGCTAAATATTTTCTTGGCATCCACTAATCTAAGCCTGTGATCAGTTTGACCAACATCGATTTCCTGTGCGTGGTTCAGTTTTCCATCCGTTTTAAAGCTGTCTTCATTGTTTTGTCGCGTCACTTGAAGATGACAAGGAATCAGTCTGAGAGGGCAGTGTGGATTTCAATCAAAGTGTGTATTTCAATATCTCACTTGTACATGTGTGTTTCCTCTTTCAGTTTGCTGCTGACGAAGGTGAAGCTGGAAGAGGTTTTGTTTGGCCCCGCTGCAGCCCTGCAGATTTGTGAGGAGATGCTGCAGCACTGGCAAATGTCTTATGACTTCAGTCGCTCCAGGTGAGCAGACTAACCAACCCCTAACATTAACCCAACTGTAAACAAACCTTGAAACTAACTGTAAAGTAATAAACTAACCTTAAACCACCGCTTATCATAAGTTAATGGACTTACAGTAACTGCTCAGTGTCAGTATTTTGCAATGCATTGTGGACCAGATATGTTCATGCCTAGTTCTGGTTCTTTGAAATTCACTCAGTGTAAACGGTTTTCATGTTTCAGCTGCTCTGCTGTCATTCTGACACCTGGCAACATTATCTGTTCAGGACATCTAACTGCCTCAACATCAAATTAATTTCTAAATGCGTCTGTATATAAAAGTCAATAAAATGTAAAGAACCAAAACACTATCTGACCTTCAATACCAGAAGTAGCTGTGAATGTATCTGAGCATGTGGTGCCTAGTTTCACATATTGGTATCAGGACAAAGGAACATTGTAAACTCACCATAAGGTAGCCATCAGCTAACTTTAAACCAACCGTAAACTAACAAATTGTTCTGGTTTTAGTCCAAAGTGTGTCCATCGGCGGTTAATCAGAGCTCTACAGCATCCACATTTTGTTGTGTTGCAGTGAAACCGATGACAGCAGCAGTTTAGCTGTGGCTGAAAAGTCCGATGTGAGTCCGTTAGTCAGGAAACCCTCCATCCACCTCACCCTGCCTGACTTCCAGGATGCCTCCACAGGTCGGTTCAGAACCTCTTCAGAATCTGCCTCTGGGTTCATTTAGATGACAGAATGTTCTGAAAGCTCTGCACATAATTACATTTATAAGGTTTAAAGAGAGGAGGAGGAATAACATTCTGATTGACCATTTTAATCAGAGCAAACGTTAACTAACTAGAGGGCTTTTTAATATTGAGAAAAAATACCTATCCATTTTAATCTGAACAGTGAAAGTTACACTTTTCTCCCCCCATCTGTGGCCCCACTGGATGGACAGCACCTTTGGTATTTGCCTGTACTGCCTGTTCTACAAGCTGGCTGAGGCCTAGATGGTGTGGACGCAAATATGTCAAGCTCAAGGCCCAGGGGCCACATCCAGCCTGGCTTACAATAAAGTCCGGCCCACGAGATAATTTTATATAGATCTACTCTATGCATAAATGTATTATGATGTCATTGTATGTTGCAGCTTTATGTTGCGAGGTCTTTTTTTGCATCTTTCACACTGTTTCCCATCCAGGAAATGGTCTGAGACATGATGTTTTTTGGCTCCCTGCATCCTCGTGTTCTCTTTTTCTCATCTGCCTGGATGTTGTATGCAACAGGTCTCTCTTGTAAATGAGTCTTCGAGGCTCAGTGGGAACTAACCTGTAAAAATAAAGGTCTAATAATACTCGTATTGTTATTAATGGCCTGGCAATATGAAACACCCATAACACAACTACAGATCCCATAATGCACTGTTTCAGTACCCTTCCTGAACGCTAGGCTACCTGGGACATTCCTGCATCAATCAAGTCTAGCTTCACGTTAACACTGTTGTAAAGTTAACGTGAAGCTAGACCCTCTCAGTGGTGAAGACAAAAGTTCTTTCTGAAAACAGAGCCTTTCAAACCGATGGGAGGCTGGGTACATGTTTACTGATATTACCGTTCAATTCAGTTCAATTCAGTTTTATTGATAAAGCCCCAAGTCACAACAGAAGTCGTCTCAGGGACTGAACAGAAACATTCAAATATAAAATAATAATTGAACAGAAACATTCAAATATAAAATAATAATTGAACAGAAACATTCAAATATAAAATAATAATTGAACAGAAACATTCATGTATAAAATAATAATTGAACAGAAACATTCATGTATAAAATAATAATTGAACAGAAACATTCAAATATAAAATAATAATTGAACATTATTTATCTGAGGAGCAGCTTTGAGTTTAACTCCATCACAGAATTCTCATCTTGAACAAGCATGAAGGCGACAGTGGAAAGAAAAACTCCCTCATGAGGAAGAAACCTTTAGCAGAACCAGGATCAGGACAAGAGGACCATCTGCTTCGACCGGCTGAGTTTGGTAGGAATAGATACACAATGGCAGGTCAAGAA